GCCATTCCCAGTCTGCCCCCAGCTCCCAGGGCCATTCCCAGTCTGCCCCCAGCTCCCAGTGCTATTCCCAGGCTGCTCCCAGTGCCCATTCCCAGTCTGCCCCTGGCTCCCAGTGCCCGTTCCCAGTTTGCCCCAGCTCCCAGCACCATTCCCAGTTTTTAGTCTCAGCCCACAGTGAGTGGCTGGGGTGATCCACGCTCTGGGTTCACTGTGGGGGTTGCTCAGGTGATTCATGCTTTGGGATTTTGGGAACAGGCCTGGACAGCAGCTCCCCATCATCGCCAGGCTTTGGGAAGAGCCTGAAGGAATCTCCAGACAGTGCTGGAGTTTTGTCCTGGCACTGGCCTGTGGAATGATGCCAGGTCATGACATCCCTTGTTTTGAACCTCTCCCACTGGGGAGAGAATTTCTTCCCATTAGGAAGAAATTTCTTCCCATTAGGAAGAAATTCTTGGCTGTGAGGATGATGAGGCACAGGCCCCATCCCTGGAAGTGTTCCAGGCTCAGTTGGATGGAGCTTGGAGCAACCTGGGATAGCAGGAGGTGTCCCTGTCCATGGCAGGGGTGCAATGGATGAACTTTGAGGTCCCTTCCTACCCAAACCATTCCATGATTCCAGGATTCCTACCTTCCCTGCCTTTCACTTACACACCAAAAAAGGACAATTTCCTTTGTTTTCTAGAAGCTTTGCAGGATCTATATGAAAATTGCTGATATTCTTGTCACCATCACTTCTCTCTTCCCAGTCCAGCCAAAGACTAAGAAGACCTTGGGCAAAACTGGGGTGAAGAATGTGGTGGTGGTGGAGGGTGTCCGCATTCCCTTTCTGCAGTCTGGCACCACGTGAGTATCAGAGACCAGTGAAACCCAGCAAGCACGCCCTGGTTTGGTTAAAACTCAACTCTTTCTGTGAAAAACCTCACTTGTTCCTTTGAATGTAGTTATTCTTGGGCCTAGAGGCTCAGGAGGGGCCCTGAGTTGGGCTGCTGCAGTTATTCCAGTGTATTTAGTGCAGGAATGTGGTTTGAAGAAGGTTGTCAGTGTGTGTATGAATCCCAGGAAGGGTAAGGATTTATGGAGCATGTCTAGAGGAAGCAGTTGGAGAATTTATAGCAGAGGAAGCAACAAGTTTGACAGAACTGGCAGGACAGGGGCCAAGAATCTGCTGTAGGCTCTTCTTCCTGGATTGCTGTGCCACCAAATCCACAGCTGAACTAAAGCCACACCTGACTGTTATGGAGACAGGATGGAGAAAGGATTTTCTTATGTGCTCCCTGCTGCTTTTCTGTGGGTTTATAGCAGTGATTACAGCCCCTCTGCTCTAGAGGCAGGCTGGGAGAGCTGGGGGGGCTCACCTGGAGAGGAGAAGGATCCAGGGAGAGCTGGGGGGGCTCACCTGGAGAGGAGAAGGATCCAGGGAGAGCTNGGGGGGCTCACCTGGAGAGGAGAAGGATCCAGGGAGAGCTCAGAGCCCCTGGCAGGGCCTGGAGGGGCTCCAGGAGAGCTGCAGAGGGACTGGGGACAAGGATGGAGGGACAGGACCCAGGGAATGGCTTCAAAGTGGAAAAGGGATTTGGGTGGGATATTGGGAAGGAATTTTTGGCTGTGAGGAGGTGAGGCCCTGGCACAGGATGCCCAGAGCACTGTGGCTGCCCCTGGATCCCTGGCAGTGCCCAAGGCCAGGTTGGACATTGGGGTTTGGAGCCACCTGGAATAGTGGAAGGTGTCCCTGCCGTGGCAGGGCTGGCACTGAATGAGATTTAGTGTCTCTTCCAACCCAAACCAATCTGTAACTCCTTGAAATGTTTGCTCAGAGGCTCAGCGGAGCATTTCTGCTCCATCCCCAGTTCTTGCTGCTCACAGGAGAATCCTGTCCTGATTTCTGTGCTGAGAATTCTGCACTGATTTCTCACACCTCTGAGTTTCTTCCTCTGCTCTTCACCTTCCAGGTATGCTGATCTGATGCCACATGACTTAGCCAGAGCAGCACTGCAGTAAGTAAATGGATCACTGGGAGGGCTCAGAGTTCTTGTCAAACTGCTGAGGTTTCAGGCTTGCAGAGCCAAGGCTCTGGGCTTGGCTCTGAACAGCTCAGGTGCTTCATTTTTCCTAGCCTCCCTCCACAGCAGTGGGTGGCTTAAGCAGTGGGGTTTATATTTTTGTTGGGATTCTCAGTAGCTTGGTGTTGATGCAAAGAGATGCTGGTGGTGACAAATTTTAGTGAATTTCTGTAGTTTTTCAAAGACAACAGACCTGCTGTTGAAGTGGGAAAAACAACCTGGGCAACACAGGAAATGAAGTGACTACAAGGATGTTGAGCTAATTCTGTGACCCTCCTGTTCTGAGGGTCATTAGCAGTGGGTTTGTTTTATTGAGAAGCAGAGCAGAGTGCTCTGGAGAGGAGAGAAGGCTTGGAGAAGCCTGGAGATGGCTGCCCCTGGATCCCTGGAAGTGTCCAAGGCCAGACTGGATGGGGTTGGGAGCACCCTGGGACAGTGGAAATGTCCCTGCCCATGGCTGGGGTGGCACTGGATGGGCTTTGAGGTCCCTTCCCACCCAAACCATTCTGGGATTTGATGATTCTGTGAGCCATTTTGTGGAAGGGCTATGAAGTAATTGCTTTAATGAAGTTCTATAATAATTTATAGTGACATTATCACCATTACTGTTTGCAGCCCATAATCAGCTACACTTCCCACAGGCCCACATGCACATGAGATTTCTTCTGAGTGGGTGAACAACTGCTTTTGCCTTGTTCTGCAGCCAAGCTGGCAGGAAGAGGATGCTGGAGAAGTTTTTATTTACGTGGGGCAAATTCCCTTTGTTTTGATCCTCTCCTTAGGGGCCTGCTGACCCGGACCAGTGTCCCAAGGGATGTTGTTGATTACATTGTTTATGGCACAGTTATCCAGGAGGTGAAAACCAGTAATGTTGCCAGAGAGGTGGGTTCTGTGCAGCATTCCCCTGGGAGGTTGACTTCTGCAGCTGCTGTGGAAATGACAGATCTGTGCTAAAAATAACAAATCATTGCTAAAAATGAACTCCCAGTATTATTGTTTGTTGAGAGTATGACGTAGTTGTGTAGTATTGTCTGTTAAATGAGTTCCTGGGACTATAATGAGAATGACTTTGGGATTCTCTGCCTCCTCTTGAAATCTGCTACAGATTTCATTTAGCATATTTTTTTAAAATCAGATTTTCATATTTCAATGCTTTCAAGCCTCTGCTTGACTCTTCCCTGCAAGGGAAGGTTTTGTTGAGGATTGCTGATCCTAAACACCAGTTGGATTGAGCACTGCCTTCCCCAGTACCCTTGGAGGAGGAGCAGAGTGTGCTGTGAGGGTTTGCTTTCTTGTGGCATTTATTTATTTATTTGAGCTGCCTGCTCAGACACAGCATCCTCAGGATTTGAAGCGGAGCAGCTTTGCCACCCTTTGTACCAGAAAACACAATTCCTGTACTATCCCCAGAGCAGCTGACCCTCAGGCAGCCTGATCTCTGCCAGCCTGGAGCCTCTGCACCTGCAGAAATCCATGATGTAACCTGGGCTCCCTGTGCAGCCTCAGCCTCGTGCAGGCAAGGCCTGCCTTTGGTCACCTGCCAGTCAGATGGGGCTGCAGGGTAATTTTAACTTGGGAACTTTCAACTAGTTGGCCACATCCCAAGTAGGGAAGGTCTCTGGGCTGCTCAGATGAGTCACTGCTCTGCAGTTTGCTGCTCTCTGTGAAGCCACTCAGCCTTGTGCTGAGTGGTCTAAATCACCCTTTTCACCTGTTGCCTTTGCCAGTAAGGTGAAACAAAGGTGATGTTGAGAAGCTGGAGGCTCTTTTGATATGGGTATTTTTAAATTTTTGTTTGTTTCCCTATTAAAAAATGTGGAGGGGCAGTGACTGTTCTCACTGTGGCCAAGAGCCTTGGCAGCGGCCTCAGCTCCTGCTCCAGAGTCTGGGGAGGGGAAGAGCTGCTGCCATAATTAACTGGATGAAAACTCCACGTCTTTTGTCTCAGCTCCACCTGCCAAGGTGTGCTGGGCAGGGAGCAGAGGCTGTAGGTTTAACAGCCACTCTTGTTGTTGTAGGCTGCCTTGGGAGCAGGGTTCTCTGACAAAACTCCAGCCCACACCGTCACCATGGCCTGCATTTCCTCAAACCAGGCCATGACCACAGGTATGTGGGGTGCAAGTGGGCTTGAGAGGGAGCTTGGGAATTCTTTTACAGCCCTCGTTCAACTTGCACTGCTTGTGAATGTAAAAAAGCAACTGAAGAAATGCTGGAATTGAAGGAAAAATGGGATTTAGCCTGGAGAAAAAGAGGATCAGGGGGGACCTTGTGGCTCTACACAATTCCCTGACAGGAGGGGACAGCCAGGGAGGATTGGGCTCTGCTGCCAGGGAACAGGGACCAGGAGGAGAGGGAACAGCCTCAAGCTGTGCTTGGGCAGGCTCAGGATGGACGTCAGGAGGAATTTTTCTGGTCAGGCACTGGAAGGAGCTGCCCAGGGAATGGTGGAGTTCCCATCCCTGGAAGTGTCCAAGGAATTGCTGGAAATGATGCTCAGTGCTCTGGGCTGGGGACAAGGTGGAGATCAGTCACAAGGCTGGGTTTGATGGTCTGGGAGGTCTTTTCCAGCCTCAGGGATTCTGTGGAAATATTTTAGCCAACAAAATACAACATGAACTGAGTGTCTGCTGTAGGCCTGCAGCAGCATCTCTGCCCAGCATCTGTGTTTATTTGGGAGGTAAAGACTGACCATGGTGAGAAAGTTGCTCCTTTTATCTTTGGCTTAGCCTAACCAGGGCTAAAAAGTGGAGACACAGCTCAAACTACTGGGGTTGTCCTTCCCTCCCTGCTCTGTGTGACAAGGACAAGTGGCAGCCAAGTGACAGCAGCTCATGTGTAACCCAGCCATGGCCAGGGGCTGCAGGAGCGGCCAGGGCTCTGTCACGGTGCCTGTTTCAGCTTCCCTTTTTCCCTGTCAAGGTCAGGATTGAGGCACTCGAGAGGATAGGTCACATTCAGACTCAGGTGTTTATTATTTTTTATTTATGTTACAGTCTCACAGCAGTGAGTTCTGCAGTTCTTCGCTAACAAGGCACAAAACAGCCAACTATCTCTTGGCTTTTAAGGCTAAACTATCCAATTAAGAAATGACACCTGAATTAATTTCAGTTTTAACCCAATAACTAATCCCTTGAAGTCTGCAATGTACCATATAAAAGACAGCAGCAGCCCTGGGCGGGGGAGAGAAGAAGCAATCAGGAGTCAGAGAGGATGTCAGAGTGTGTGTGTGCCTCTGAGCTGCTGAGCAAACCACAGCAGCTCCAGGAGAAAATCTTCTAGACAACTTGCAATAAACTACCTTGAGACCGAACAACAGAGGCTGCTGAGCTTTTTTGAAAGCTTGGAGGAGAGACTTTTCCAGCACAGGGAGCCAGGCTGAGCCCCGGCAGCCTGGCAGCGCTCTGTCCCTCCTTGCAGGCGTGGGGATGATCGCGGCCGGCCAGTGCGACGTGGTGGTGGCCGGCGGCGTGGAGCTCATGTCCGACGTCCCCATCCGCCACAGCAGGAAGATGAGGAAGACCATGCTGACCCTCAACAGAGCCAAGACCCTGGGCCAGAAGCTCTCCCTCATTTCCAAAATCCGCCCGGACTACTTTGCTCCCGAGGTATTTTTTTTTGTTTATGTTTAGTGAGCTGGTTTAGAGGGTGTGAACAGGCCTTGATGGAGGGGATTTAAGATGGCTGAGGTGGCTCCTGGGGGTCACCATGATCAGTCTCTGTCCTCTGCTTTGGGTTAAAACACTGGTTAATGCATCTCACAGCATTTGGGCCTCTGCTTTTTCTTCCCACGTGTTCATCTTCAGTAAACCCAGCTTAGTGCAAAACCTCCTTCTGCAACTCCTGGACAAACTGTGCTGCAGCTGATAGAAATAAAAGTTTGAGTTTTTTTTCATAAATAAAAAGTTTATTCTGAAGTGTCAGAAGAATTCTAGGGTCAGAGGAATTTTCCTAGATAATAGAAATAACCCCCCTTAATATTAGACAGGAATATCCTCAGTATATTAAGCTGATTAATGCATCTTAAATATGCCTTATGATTCCTGTTCATGGCCAAATCCTGCCAGGGGCTGGATGTGTTCAGCTCCCCTGAAGAGCAACATGTCAGGAGCAGGGTGAGCCACTGCTCTGTCCTGGGGGCCGTGGGGGGCTGAATTACAACGCGGTGAGGATGGAAAGGGGCAGCATTCCCTCCTTCCCACCGTGAGCTCTCCACAAGGAAACTGCAGCCATGTCATTCCCTTCAGTGTGAGAGCAGCGAGGCCCAGGTTAAATGTGGCAGAGCTGACACCCCAAATCCACGTAAGATATGAAAATTCCAGACTTGAATGCATGCAGGGATTTCCTGAGTGATGCTGGAAGAACTAAAACTAAGCCAAGATCACCTCTGGGCTCTGCTTTTGGATGAGGAGGTGTTCTGACAAGGAGTTTTGAGGTCCCAGGATGTGATGTTTGAGCTAAACCCAAAAGGTCTGGTCAGCCTTTCTCGTGGATTCCTGTGTCTTGGTTTGAAAAGCCAGGTGTCTGTTAAGGAAGGCAGGAGCCTCCCCTGAAATGGAAAATGCAAACCCCCTCCCTCTGAATTATTATAATTTTGAAATTAAGGGGCTTTCAGGCAAAGATAGGGGAGCAGGTGTAAGAGTTAATTATTAGGAAAATTAAAAATGCAAATGCAATAGTACAAACAGACAAAACCAACCCTGGCAGGGTCAGAGCAGCCCTGTCCCCTGTGGGTCAGGGAGTGGCTCAGCCCCATCCCAGGGGGGCTCAGCCCTCCTGCAGTGCCAGCTGTGCTTCTGCTGGAGCAGGATCTGCACAAGGGGGGAGTTTTCCTTGGAGCTCCAGGGCTGGGGGAGATGGGCCTGGGCTCCTCTGGGAATGCAGTGGGGATAAAGCTGCTCCTCTGGGAATGCAGGGGGAAGGAAGCTGCTCCTCTGGGAATGCAGGGGTGAAGGCTGCTGTGGTATCCCAAAATCTCAGATTGTATCCAGGTAGGAATTGCTTGGCTGCTCCTCTGGACAGAGCATCTCCCAGTGGGATGATGGAATTTTCTCAGCCATGCAGGGACACTCAGTGGCCCATGAACAGAAGATAATTAATAATCAATGACCCATGAACAGAAGATAATTAATAATCAATGGTCCATGAACAGAAGAGATCTACTGGAGGGAGGATGAGTTGTGAAAGAAATAAAATGAACAGAATTGCCCCACAGATAGGAATAGAACACACACCCCCATTTCCAACCTAAGACACCCTGTTAAATGTACAGGCAGCTGCTCTCAACACAGTCCTGGAACCCCTGCGTTAAGCAGCAGCCTGCAACTTGTTTTTTTTCCCCAAAATCTTGCAAAGGGCTGGTTTCTCTGACACATTTCTGAGTCGGTTGTAGTCTGACTACCGCCTGCTAATTGTGCAGCTCCAGATTAACGAAGGGAGGGGCCTCCCTCCCAGCACGGGGCTCAGCTCCGCGTGCTCCCAGGGGGTTTTTTCCCCCCTTGTGCTGACTCTCCCTCCCTGGTGGCAGCTCCCAGCTGTGGCAGAGTTCTCCACCAGCGAGACCATGGGGCACTCTGCCGACCGCCTGGCCGCCGCCTTCGGCATCTCCCGCCTGGAGCAGGACGAGTACGCGCTGCGCTCCCACTCGCTGGCCAAGAAAGCCCAGGACGAGGGGCTGCTGCAGGACGTGGTGCCCTTCAAAGTGCCAGGTGACAGTGCCACGGCCAGCCCCGGCTGCTGGGGGTCCGGGTGGGTTTTGGCAGGGCGTGTTTGTCCCTGGAAAACTGCTGGCGTGTTTGTAAACGGGATGGGTGAAGGGGTGAACGCAGAACCATGGGGTGGTTTGGGTGGGAAGGGACGTTGAATATCACCCAGTTCCACTGGCCCAGGGTGCTCCAAAGCCCCATCCAGCCTGGCCTTGGGCACTGCCAGGGATCCAGGGGCAGCCACAGCTGCTCTGGGAATTCCATGCCAGCCCCTGCCTGCCGCCCTGATTCTTAAGATTTTCTAAAGCCTTCTGAGTTTACATTCTGTTAGAAAACTTCCCCACACATTTTCTATAAACAACGTATTGTTTTACATTCCTTCATGGGGGTGGAAAAAGTTAATATACTAGTAGTTTGTCCAATGTCTTTGGAGAGGTGGCCCATTCACTCTCCAATCCACTGTCACCTTTGGGAAAGTATAAAGGTTAGAGTCAGAAAAATAAACTTTATTCTTTTTTTACCTTGCATTCATAGTGGCTTGTGTTGTGCTTTCTCATGTCCCATAGCAACACCTGCCCACCTTCCTTCCCTGGGATACCCAATATCCCATCTAGCCCTGCTGAAACCTGAAATGCAAGGAACTCTCTGAACTTTGGGCCTGTAAACCAAAGCTTAGAATTAAACCCAGGATTTAATCTGAAACCTTAGAAAAAGCTTCAGAACTGAAGTGCTGAAAGCGACAATGTGGATGTGTCATTTAGAGCAGAGACACATTAAGCTAAGTAAAGAAAAGTTTAGAGTGTTAGAGTTCAAGATGTAGAAAAAATAACGTAGTTAGAAAGGTAAACAACAAGTTTAGAATGCAGTACTGCAGGTTTGTGTGTCATAACATGATTGGCTAAGGAAGCTCACCCTATTGCATGAGTTCTTAAGGTGAAATATTTAAGTATTGGGTCAAAAACATAAATATCCTTGTTGGCAGTGTTTTATGGGTCAATAACTCCTTAAAAAGTCTCGTAACTAGGGGTCTTGTGACCTTCTGAGCCATGCAGTAAAGATGTGAGCAGAACTCACCCTTCCTGCCTGTAGAAAATAAGAAAAATAAACCACATCATCTAAATGAGATCCTGTTTCTAACACATTCAAAACTCCTTAAAAACATCCCCATCTAACCCTGCCCTCTGTCTTTTCTTTCCATATGTAAATTTTTTTTTTACATCTGTGCTAATGAGGTGACAGAGCAGGGAAAAATCAGGACAGCTGGACACGGAATCCCTCTGCTTTTCCTCCAGGCAAGGGAAACCACCCTTATACCCCAGAATATCAACAACAAACATGAACCCAACAAAAATCCCAGTCTGGTAACTCAGGTGCTGGATGGGACGAGCTGGAATGGGGCAGGTTCCAGTTCACCAGGCCTCACACTCCTTGCTGGGAGGTGGAACAGTCTGGGGAGAACCTTCAAGCTGCCCTTCCCCTGGGCTGTGCTGGTGTCCCCCTCACCCCCCAGGAGCCAGGGGACACCCTTGGCTGCAGTACCCGTTCATTTGGGAGCTCTAATTGGCAGCCTGGAGAAATTATCCTTGTGGATCCACAGTTCCATGCGGTCTTTGTGATACAATTGCTGCCTTTTCTTAACAGGCTGTGTTAGCAGTTGGATATATTTGGGTTTTCCCAGTGCTTTTTATTGCTCAAACTCAGCACTTAAATGTAAACTGATTTAAGGCCAGTTCTCCATGTAGGCTTTTTAACCTAAATTTAAATTCTTTCCTCAACTGGGTTTCTCCTGTGGTAATTTTGCCTTCCAGTAAGCAGATGGCAGCACTTGTTTTTTGTTGTCTTCTGAGGAAAAGCGAGGTAGCTTCAATTTTTAAGAGCTATTTTCAGCCATGTTAAGTATCCTGATGCCACAAACAGATTTCCCTTTTCTCCCTCCCACAATCTTTTTTCCCCCCACTGGAGTCCTGATGATGAAACCCTTGTGCATTGCTGGTTTTTTGTAGTTGAAATGTACTTTTTTCCCTTGGCCAGGCAAAGACACAGTTACCAAAGACAACGGGATCCGCCCGTCCTCCCTGGAGCAGATGGGAAAACTGAAGCCAGCGTTTGTCAAGCCCTATGGAACAGTCACAGCAGCCAACTCCTCCTTCCTGGTAATTCCTGTTCTGGCACTGTCAGCCAGAGGGGAGGACTGTGCACCTGACCCTCTGCCTCCCTTAGCTGGTGCCATCTGGGAATGAGCCTTTTAATACTGACTTTTTCCAGATTTTCCAGGTGTAACTTGGAACCTTCTTGTAGTCCAGTGGATTTGGGTATTGGATAGTTTCATTTTAAAATCCATGACAAAACCCCTGAAGTTTTGGGATGTCTGAGCTGTTTGCCTCTCTGTAGCTGCTTCGTGAGGGTCAGTCCTTGATTCTGTCCCAGGATGGGATTGGTCACGATGTACAACTGAAGGCAGTAGGTTTAGTCTGAATTTCACAGAATCACGGAGTGGTTTGGGTTGGAAAGGACCTTAAATCTCACCCAGTGCCACCCCCTGCCATGGCAGGGACACTTTCCACTATCCCAGGGTGCTCCCAGCCCCATCCAGCCTGGCCTTGGGCACTGCCAGGGATCCAGGTTGGACACTGGGGCTTGTGATGCCTGGAAATAGAACACAAACTTTTCCAGACAACGTTAGAATGACAATACAAAACCAAACCTTTCCTTGAAAGCCTTCAGGTACAGAATGTGGCAAAAATCCACGTCCTGAATTAGATTTGTACCATTTAATACAAGGTGGGACAGTTAGAATATCCAGCCAATGTTGTCCAGTTAGAGGAGCTGTTGGTTAAGTAATTCCCTCCTGGCTTCTGCCCTGGCTTCTCCTCCCCATCTCCTACCCTGCCTTTATCATGTCTGTGATTACATGATGCAAAATAAAAACTCCTTGGAGGAGTAACAGGCAAGACAAAAACCAATATTTTAGGAATGCATCAGTGAGCGTTTGTTCATTGCTGGAAAAGTGCTGTAGGTTATACCTAAGCATTTTACAGTCTACAAAGCTACAAATACATGAAGAATACATAAAAGCTAAAACCTCTGAAGAATACATAAAAGCTAAAACCTCTGAGCACTTGGAGAACCCTGGGATAGTGGGAAGTGTCCCTGCCCATGGCAGAGAGTGGAACTGGACGTGATTTAAGGTCCCTTCCAACCCAAACCATTCCATGATTTGATGTGCCAAACCCACAATAAGTGGGTTTAACAATAACCCACATTTTTGTCATGTGCTGAGCCTGGGGCTTGTGTCACCCCAGAATGATGCTGAGTTTTGGGATGGGGCTGGGAGGACAGCTGAGTGTTTGGGATGACCAGCTTGTCCCAGGCCTGGCAGGGCTTTTAGGCAGCTCTGCTGGGTGAAACGGGGGGAGCTGTGCCTGTGGGCTGTAGGGGAGTGCTTCAGCAGTGTGTGCTGCCATCAGCAGTCATCATCTATCCCCTCCATCCAGCAGCCTCATCCTTCGGCCCCTGCCGTTGTGGGGTGTCCTGGAGGCTGTGCTGGGCTTCAGCTCCTCTCTTGCTGAGGGCTGTGGGGCTGGCTGTGTGCAGGGTGTGCAGGTCCCTCACCTGGCTTCTCCCTCCCTGCCCGTTCCAGACCGACGGAGCTTCGGCCATGCTGATCATGTCTGAGGAGAAGGCTCTGGCCATGGGCTACAAACCAAAGGCCTACCTAAGGTAGGAGGGGCTGCTCCTGTGGCTTCTGCATCCTGCTTCCCTCTCCTCTCCCCAGCACTCACAGCCCTTTTCCTGCGCAGGGATTTCGTGTACGTGTCCCAGGATCCCAAGGACCAGCTGCTCCTGGGGTAGGTGGAGATGGAGAGCATCCCCCCTGTCGCTGTCGAGGCAGGACGGGGATGAATAGACTCGACTCAGAAGGCTGTGAGAGTAAAATTCCAACTTATTCAAAATACACTGCTCTTTTATACAGAGCCTCGTGAGGACCAACTCCATTGGTTCTGAAGTGAAAACAACCACACCACTGGTGCAAAGTGCTTGATGCAGTGATAGAACTTAACTATAAACAGTGTGAAAAACAAGAGAGATAAAGAATTATTTACATTCTTCTCCAGCTCTTTCCCAGGCTTCTGCCTGGCTAGAAACCCCCCTTTCTCTCTTTGACTGAATCTGAGTCCCACACCCCCCCACAGCCCCTGCTCCCACAGCAGCCTTCTCCTGCCACGGGGTGTTTTTGGGAAGTGCCTCAGGAGATGTTGCATCTCTCCAGGCCTTCAGAGGTGGGAGAGCAGCAGTGGCAGGAACACCCCAGGATTGCTGGGGCACCTCAGCAATAGTTCTGGGGGCTGTGCCTCCCTCGGACAGGGATGGGCAGAGCTGGGCCATGAGCCCAGAGAGAAGGATGTGGCTGTGGGAAAGGGGGATGAGGCTCACAGGGAACACAGATGCAAGGACTGCGTGTCTTCCCTCCTTCAGCCCCACCTATGCCACTCCCAAAGTGCTGGAGAAGGCCGGGCTCACCCTGAGTGACATCGATGTGTTTGAGTTCCACGAGGCCTTTGCTGTAAGTGCTCTAAAGCTGGGATTGGCTCCCTGCAGCCATCTGCTTTGGGTTATTCCCAATGTCACCCTCTCCTCCCTTGCAGGGCCAGATCCTGGCCAACCTGAAGGCCATGGATTCAGATTGGTTTGCACAGAACTACATGGGCAGGAAGGCCAAGGTAAGGCAGAGTCGGGACATTTTCCTCCTTGTGCTGCCCCTCCAGGCCCTTGTCCCCTCTCCAGCTCTCCTGGAGCCCCTTTAGGCTCTGAGCTCTCCCTGGATCCTTCTCCTCTCCAGGTGAGCACCCCCAGCTCTCCCAGCCTGGCTCCAGCCCCGGGAGCAGCTCTGTGTCTCCTCTGGACACACTTTTCTCTCCAGTTCAGTGAAACTTTGGGGTTCCTGGGCTCCCTCCCACCAGCTGCCAGTGCTGGTGCTGCACAGCCAGGCTCTGGCTCTGTCCTGTGAGGAGCAGTGATGCTCCTTGAGCTTGGCTTAGCAAATCTCAATTCATGCACTTTCTCTGGGACACAAAATTTCCTTAAGCTGCTGGCAGGAGGTGGAGATCCAGAGCCTCAATCTCTGTCCTGTAAGGAGCAGTGATGCTCCTTGAGCTTGGCTTAGCAAATCTCAATTCAAGCACTTTCTCTGGGACACAAAATTCCGTTGGGGTGCTGGCAGGAGGTGGAGATCCAGAGCCTCAATCTCTGTCCCGTAAGGAGCAGTGATGCTCCTTGAGCTTGGCTTAGCAAATCCCAATTTATGCAGTTTCTCTGGGACACGAAATTTCGTTGGGATGCTGGCAGGAGGTGGAGAGCCTCAATCCCTGCAGGGGAGGGTGGTAAGGACAGTGTGAAGGCTCAGTCCTTGCACACTGCAGGGCTCCCCTGAGGTGCTGCAGGGGAAGCAGGAGCTCCTTTGGGGTGGTTTTATCCCCTCATCAGCCATCCTGAACTGCTGTAGCCTCGGTGTTGCTGGCATTAGGTGGGGTGAGGCGTCACCCCGTCCAGCCAGGTGTGTCTCTCTGTGTCCCTGCAGGTTGGAGCCCCTCCTCTGGACAAGTTCAACACCTGGGGGGGCTCCCTGTCCCTGGGACACCCCTTTGGGGCCACCGGCTGCCGCCTGGTCATCACTGCTGCCCACAGGCTGAAGAAGGAGGGGGGCCAGTACGGGCTGGTGGCTGCCTGTGCTGCAGGAGGGCAGGTAAAGGTGCTGTGCTGCAGCCTGTGCCCTCGGGAGAGGGCAGGAGCAGCAGGGCTGGTCCTGCTGGGACTCTGCAATCCTGCCGGTGACCCAGAGCTCCCTCAGGCACCTCTGACTGCCCCCACCACCCCTCAGTCCTGTCCCTGTTCCCTGGAGCAGATCCCAAATCCCCCCCTGGCTGTCCCCTCCTGGCAGGAGCTGTGAGAGCCACAAGGTCCCCCTGAGCCTCCTTTGCTCCAGGCTGAGCCCCTTCCCAGCTCCTCAGGAACTCTCTATTCCCTTCCCAGCTCCCTCAGGAACTCTCCAGCCCCTTCCCAGCTCCTCAGGAACTCTCCAGCCCCTTCCCAGCTCCTCAGGAACTCTCCAGCCCCTTCCCAGCTCCCTCAGGAACTCTCTATTCCCTTCCCAGCTCCCTCAGGAACTCTCCA